CCCTGGAAGTTTTCTCAAAAATTAAGGCAAGACAAGGACCAACAACTAGTCAACAGTATTGCTTGGGGTTCCTATGTAGCCGATCTTTCCCACATTACCGACTTACCATGCCTTGATCTGCACTGTGGAGGCAGCCATTTTGATAGAAGCAAGGTTTTGCTTCCTTACTTCAGAGCCTCCAGCAAGGAGAACAATGAGCAGTAGTGGCATCCCCAGATTTCACTCCATATCTCCTGAGACCAAGGTAGCCAAATTTTTAAGATGAAATCTGGGGAAACCCTGCTGATCATGGGCACTTTTAACCACACCTAAAAAACATGATATCCACATTTTTAACATGCCCTCAAACATCTGGTCACAAAGTTTCAGAACAAGAGGCAGATGGCAGATGCTGAAGGTAAGAAAAAATAAATAAACAGTTTTCAGCACTAGTTGACAGTGCCAGTGTCATGCTGTAACCCCCCCCCCCCCCCCCCCCCCAACAGCATTGGTTGTCAGTGGTAGGCTCAGGTTGTAACAAACTTCCCAGCACTTGTGTTTAGAGGCAAGCTCAGGCTGTAATAAGATACCTCTCTCCAGCATCAGTGACAGGCTCTGGCGGTAACGACCCCCAGCATTGGTGGTCAGTGGCAGGATAATGCAAACCCACTTAGCATTTGGTGTTCACTCTGTTTTATTACCTGAGTACATGTTCTGGCACTGGTTCCTCTCTCCCAGTTGGTGCTGCAACAGAGAAAAGAAGAATGCATTACACATGCGTAACTGTTTAAAGCACTTAGTCCTGCAATGTTGGGGGTCCAGACTTCAGTGTGTCCCAGATCATAGGCAATTCAGCATGGATTGCGTCCAGTTATGGTATTTTAGCCAGACTGTGGCATTTCATCTATGCTTAGATTTTGTAAGCTGCACAGTATTTTCAAAACTGCTGGGGCCCCTTATTTATTACAAAGGGGAACTTAGTCTTTAAAGAGTCAATATAAGAAAAGAAAAGAAAATGGGGTGCTAAATGTCTCTGTAAGGGTGTTCAATCCTATCCCCTGCAGAAACAGTATCCAATAATAATATATACAGGCCGTGCACCCCTAAAGTATAGGTGCATTTAATATATGGAATAAAATTTACAATATACTGTAGTATTTTACCTTCACTACAGAGAAGTTATTATACTTATAATGCAACTGATGGGCAATACGATCATCAATTGTCTTCCAGGTACATATAAGTGGTCCAGTAACGTGCATAAACTTAGTAATGTTAAGACACATATAACCCACTAAAATCTATTTCGGAGATAACTATGTCAGTTTACAAAGACTTTTCTTTGGATCAGGGTTGTTTAAGGGATCTGTGAAGAATGTTCTAATTATAAGTTTATGATAGGTTATGCTAATAAGAGGTCAGGCAGAAAATGGCCATTCCTCAATTTTTTTTTCAATATCCCTTTTGTTCACTTTTATCACAATTTCTTGCCTGTAAGTCTGTTTATTTATTATCATTTTTCCTGTTGCAGTTCAACATCTCAATTTTAATTTGAAATTATATCAATTGTTTTGTTTTAATTTGAAATGTTTGACACTGACACAGCTTGCAATATGGCGAAGGGAACAAACAGTTCTAGTCTTGCTGGTACATGTGATGGATTTTAGTACTGCTGTAATTGTGAAGCTGTACAGCAGTACCTTAAATAATTGCTTTTAATATTAACTTCCACATATCAGTTTGTATTGCTGATGGAAATATTGGAACTGCAGGCACTCCTGGACCTAAAAGGCAGAATGGGACAAGGACTGCAGCAAGAATCAGAGGCCTCCACATTATATTTTTTATTTTCTGTTCATTTTAAAGCTCCTGATGAGCATTGTGCAACATTGCAGATCTCCCATGCTCAAAAATAAATGGTGGCTTCAGACTGGTAACAGCTCTTGCCTGATGCAGGTGGCATAGTCAGGTTAATGATTGTATGTCTGTAGGCCCTTCAAAACCCCAATCAAAATTTTCTGTCAGATCTTGTTTGGGGCAAGAGTTTATTAAGAAAGGTGAATGTTCGTGGCTGATTGCTATTGTTTTCTCCCTGATCTACCGCCTCACAGCTCCATAAGCACAAGTTAAACCCTATGCATACTTGTAGAACTTGTGGATCGCTTCTGATCCAGTTGCCATCTGAGGTCTTTAAGCGCCTTCATGTGTGCATATGATGTTGAGTACATTGTGCAAGTAATTAAATATTCTCACTATAGGAATGTTTCGTTTGTTTAGGACTTGCATATAAAAATTTATTCTCCTGATCACAATACATGGCAAGTATTAGGAAAGTAAAAAATCACATATAGAACAAGACATTCCTGTATTTTTTGCAATAAGGGTCATTACCTGTAACATTTTCTTTTATCAATCAGTCCCTTTAGAACTTATTTGATCTTCTCTAATAAGTCTTCAAAAGGTTGGACCTTTATAGGGTGGTGTTCATCATTTGTGGACTGGACTATCGGTTGTATGTAGGCCTCTCCCATATATCACAATATATGCTGTATTTCTACCACTGCACTGCTAAAATGTTGCTGTAAATCTCATCTATCATTTGATACTGGATTACAATTTCAGATGACACAACTGAGGTTTATGAGAGGTTTAGCTGCCCCCACTCAAAAGTCAAGCTTAACTTAACTATCTGTGTCACAAATGAGCTCATGGCAGCTACCCTTGGGTATTACAGAACTGTGTTTCTCTGGCCGATGAGTCATGGAGATATTAAGAATGACGTAAGCTTGAACTTTCTGTGGCTATAAAAAATATTGTACAGTTACACTGCACTACAAAATATTGAGTTGTAATGTATTAAACATATTTTTCCATAACATTCTGTAAATTGATTCCAAATTGTACACAGGCCTCCTAGTATGTATATTTCATGCTTTCCTGTGGCACTACTCAGGGCAAAAAGAAGGGCACATCCCACACAATATGTGTCCCCTAAAATCCAGGCAGGAAGCTTGAGCACTGCTGGTTGTAAAGGGGATAGCAGCTGCACCAATCTGCTCATAAAACATTTGGAGTTTGTATAGTCTTTAGTTCTGAAAAGTTGTAGGAAAGCAGCATCATATGTTAGTACATGCCCTGTTTGACTATTCAGCTGATGGAGACCATACAGTTAGCAGCAGGTGGGAGGTAACATTATTGAAATTGATCATTTTCAACCCCAGGCACTTAATAGCTATGTTGGCTGCCATGTTTGCTGTACCTTCATTGCCATTGTATAGTTCACACATAAAAAAATTTCAACTTTGTTTCTTTTCTAGTAAATTCCGGTTCACATATATGAGAATTGGATGCAGTTTGAAACGCATTCAATCCGCATAACATGTGAAATAACATTGCTTCCTATGGTGTCTGTTCACATAGGTACAGTGCAGTGGCAGTGCGGATTCAGTGCGGATTGAAAAAGAGTCCTGTACGATTTCTGAGCAGTGCGGTCCAGTTAAACTGCGGATTTCAGGCTATTTACTTCTATGGGAACTGTTTATGAACCGCACATGTCATCAGTTGTGAACGGGATAAAAATCCTGACCTGAACCGCTGAACAACTACTGTGTTAATTAGCTGTGAAACCTGAGTTTCAATCCGCATTGCACGGGTGAATCCACGATGCCTGATGAAGGGGTCCTGCGAGACTCCGAAACGTTGCCTTGCTGTAACTATGTGATCGTTCATTAAAAATTTTGGACCATATTGGTGATCCTCGGTGTGCTGGTGACATTTGCCCTTGCTGAATCTACACTAAATCTTTATTTTCTTTCAATCATAACTTTCCCATTTATAATCATAAATCTACCTTTTGTTTGTTATACTCCAATGCAAAGCTAAAGATATGCAATAACCCATAGCAACCAGACAGTGTTTACCCCAGTTGTATAGCCAGACCTGTAAAATATAACTTTGATTTGGTACCTAACAGTTTAATATTTGGCTCCTGAAGCTCTAGTGGCAAGACAGTCTATGAACTCTGCCCTAGACAAGGCCATAAAAAAGGCAGAACATGTGCAACACACAGACACTTTTTATTCAGTGGAACTGCCACATTATCTCTCTAAAAATGAAAAAAATATGGTGTTTGTGACAGTAGATTGGAAGAAACCCAAATCAGTAAGCTGAAATCTAAAAAAATAACTTAAAGCAGAACTAGACCTATCCTCCTGCAGCCAAGGAGGTTGATTCCTTGGTCATTGTTTGATCTGGAGTTGCCATGATTCTGCACATTTTCAGTTATGACAACAGCCATTTGATGGCTTGACAGTTCAGTTGACAGCCAAAGCAACTGTGACAGTTTTCATTCATGGCATGCCTTGAATATAATTGCTTTGGGGAACAGTTAACCTGAAGGGTTTAGTTCCACTTTAAGTTCATTGTATTAACAGTACACTACAATGTTTCAAGTTAATATGGTCCTGCAGTTTCTAGAGCAGGTTAGTTTGTGCCAGTAACAGTTAGAGGTCTTTGTAATGGCCTGTAACAATGTGAAGCTTTGAGATTAATGTCTCATGGAACAGAAAAGCACAAGCAGTAGAATACATTAAGACGACTATGCACTAAACAATCTGATTGTACAAGTCCCTGTCTCCTTTAAATTTACCAAATACCTTTTAGATTTACCAAATACCAATCAAAGCAGACAGGCCCTTGCATTACATAGTTAATGGTAGATCGAAAAGAGATTGAACAAGCAGATTGTATAATGTATGGCCAGTTTTAGACCAATTGGACACAACAGGGGCACTGTATTACTGTAAATGGACTCAGCTAGTTTTACTAATAGCCTTTACAAAATAAAATATACTAAAAAAAATAAAATAACTGGTGGTTGAGCATACCAACATGCAGTGAAGAACTGGCACAGGAGTCTTACAACTCCCCCCCATAGTCCACATAGGTGAAGATGCTCTTTAATGTTGGTTATATACTATTAATACTCTTAAAAAGCACTAATAAAATGTTCCTTCTGTTTTAGAGACTTTGCTTTTGTAGCTAATGATAAAGATACCTGCATGCTGAAGTGTCATGTATTCCGTTGTGATGTCCCAGCCAAAGCTATTGCCAGTGCCCTCCATGATATGTGTTCTAAGGTATGAAGTCATTGAGCCATGTATGAAAGAATCTGGAGAAATCAGCTTGATGTAAATAATATCAGTTTGTGTTATTGTTTTAAAACCTTGCTTATTTGCATAATGCGTAACTATAGATATGTGTATACTGACAGCCATATTTACTCTATACATATACTGTATGTAGACTCTGCTCCCTGTTGTTCAGTACTACACCTTGTCTAAGCTTTCACCATGAAAATGTATAAACCAGCTGACTCACTGAAAATTATCGGGTCTATTTATCAATGTTTTCACACAAGATTCACACAACTTTGACCCAATATTCCCACATTTCCACATAAAATTCAATTAGAAAAATGTATGAATCTTTTGTAAAAGCTGTGTGAAAACACTGAAAAAAAGACCTCAATGTGTTCTTTATGTGGCTGCCAACAACTGATAGGGGGAGCAGATATTATGAATAGATGTTTATAAATGTCCATTTTGTTGTTGGTGTGCGTTCCTGGTATGCGCACAATGCGTCTGCTTCTACTACTAGCAGAGAGTATCAGAGTGGCTTTGAGCCTTGTGATTGCTTAGAGGGCCAATCACAACAATCACAATTGTAAACAGTACTATTGTTTACATTTAAGTACCCTCCCCTTCCTGTAATAGAGGAAGGGGAAACTGGAGGATTGAATTAATTCATCGATTTATTAAATCCACCTGGCTACAGCAGAGGAATGCTGTGATTCAAGGTCAGGGGTTAAAGTGACACTGACCACCGATGTTGTGGGATTGTTTTTGAAGGGATCTAAAGTGCCAAAATCACCTATGATGGGGGAGTGGTGGATAGTTTTACAATGCGACTGATCACCAATTGTTGTGGGATTGTTTTTAAGGCTTGATTTAGATGCCAATGACCACAATAATTTGGGGGGTTTGTTTGGAGGGGGGGGGGTGTTAAAATGCCACTGACCACCGATGGTTGTAGGATTGTTTTAGGGGGCAGTAAATGTTTTGGATTTGTCCACAACATTTATTCAATGCACACAATGAAATTTACATCTCTACGAAACTCTTTTCCACTCATTTTCACGCAACTTCAGTGGATAGCTTGTAAAGGTTCTACAAACTTTAACCACCACAATACCAGTTTCCTCATTTTCAAAAATTTATGGCAAAAAAAAAATCACTTTGAGATGCTTTTCAAAAAAAGTGGTTATTTCCAGGGTGTTTGTAATGTCCTGGCATTTTTAATCTATATGTTTTATAACAAAAAGTAAGGAAGACAGTTTTTTTTTCAAATTTAGTCTTTTTTCCTTTATATAGTAAGGCCTCTTTCACACGGGGCATATTCTGTTCCAATCATCAGGTGATCCACTCACAAATCCCCTGCTGATCAAAGCCGAGTGGGCGGATGACACATCTGTGTCCGCTCAGTTTCTGCAGAGTGTATATGGACTGAGCCCACTCTACTCTATGGGCGGCTGGGAAGTAAATGGACTCAGCTGTTCATTTACACCCGACTACCATCCAATCCATTTAAAAGGAACAGGACAGATCCTTTTCCTTTTTTTTTTTTTTTAAGCGAATTGGATGGGACCCAGAGGTAGGCAGTTGTTAATAGACACAAGTCTGTTTACACCTGCCTGTCCATAGGAATGGATTGACCTTCCAATAAGGTGTGCCTGAAAAGCTGACAGGTGGACTTGATCGGATCGCCTGTGTGAAAGGGCCCTTCATAATAAAAAAAACAGTGGTTGTTAATACAACCACATGAAAGAAAGATATAAAATAAATTTGGGTACAGTGTTGCATGATCAAATAATTTTCATTCAAACTGTCACGCCACTAATAAAAGGCCTGGACGGAAAGTGCATGTACATTTTGCTAGGATTGAAACTGAGGTGATTAAATCCTAACTTTTAAACAAGAATAGACATACATTTTAGAAAACAGGGACTTTGCAAGCACCAAAATATTACAACAAAAAAAATATATAAAAACACCATTTTATTGAATCCAATTTTAAAAACACAAAGCTGTAAACAAACATATTTGTATGATGTCATAATCAACACCTTAATATTTTATAGAACGTTTGTGCTGTACTCTACTGCTCTCCCCTGAAGAAGATTCAAAATATAAATCTTATGAATTGAAACGCGTTGGAGTTTCTCTTCTTGGTGATATGCAGCCAAACCATTGCCATTTTTGTACAATGCTATGTACAATGTATTTTTCTTTTTGTTTTTAAAATTGGATTCAATAAAATGGTGTTAAATAATAAGGGATCCTCCTGCGCTCTCATGGGAATAATTGACAAAATACAGCTGCTGTCACTTAGCTGATACCAATAAGTGCAAAAATAAAATTAAAAATTAGTGAAGCGCTTGTATCACATGAATACAATCATGTATCTCCATATAGTGTAATTATAAATCAAAGTGACCACTATATATATATAAATGTGTGTTGACTCCCTCTAGTGAAAAGAAAAAATAGTGTCAACCAAAATAGCTAAATAACACACATTAGGAAACTAAATAATAGTGCATAAATCAAATATAATGAACAGAATTATAATATACGTGAAAACAGAATATTGGCCACATACAATGGTGTCTAAATTATACATAAATGATATATGCCATAGGTGAACAAGACAATATCAAAGGTGAAAAAAATATTCCATGCATGTGACTGTGCTTTAAGCTGGAACACACACGTGATCTCCACTTCTAAGTGCAAGTACTCTCCTTCAAATGGCAGCAATGCCTGCTCACCTCCCTTCCTCGACCCACACAGGGCCTCAAAGCAGTTACCACCTCAGTTTGTATTCCTCTGGCAGACTCCTTATTCCTCCTCCTCTCTTTATGCAACTCATAAAAAGACAAGAAAGCCTTCCATAGTGTAGTAAATTTAATAGGCAAAGTTAAAAATTACAAAGTATTCCACTCACATGCTCCTTTCCATAAAAAAGCGTTTTTCCCAGCCTGTGGGTAGATATGCATGCACCTGGGGGAATCCAATATGGCCACTGTGTCCGGACATACGTCACCAGGAAGTAGACAAACCAAACTTTGCCTATTAAATTTACTACACTATGGAAGGCTTTCTTGTCTTTTTATGAGTTGCATATTCTGTTCATTATATTTGATTTATGCACTAATATTTAGTTTCCTAATGTGTGTTATTTAGCTATTTTGGTTGACACTATTTTTTCTTTTCACTAGAGGGAGTCAACACACATTTATTATATATAGTGGTCACTTTGATTTATAATTACACTATATGGAGATACATGATTGTATTCATGTGATACAAGCGCTTCACTAATTTTTAATTTTAATAAATGTTTTTATATATTTTTTTGTTGTAATATTTTGGTGCTTGCGAAGTCCCTGTTTTCTAAAATGTATGTCTATTCTTGTTCTATGAGTTGGGATAAGCACCATTTATATTTGGAATAATTTACCAGTACCATACACTTTAAATCCTAACTTTGTTACTTCAAATACTAGTCACTAACAGATGCAGCAGCTGTCAGTGTTGCATGAACTGTATGTAGCCTTAGCTACATACAATGTACAATGTTGTGTTCTGGGATCAGGATGGGGAATTCCTGTCCTGCTCCCGAAACAAAATTGAGTCAGTCTGAGCATTGCTTAGCCATTCACAGAAAACAATGTATTCTATAAATGAATACAAGACTACCTCTGAATGGCTGAGGTGGAGAGGTGGGCGGATCACGTCACAATACAATACAATGCTTCTTGTAAATAGTTCAGTAGCATTCAGCCTGTCTCAATCTTATTCTGGGAACGGGATGAGAAGTTGCTGTCTCTGCTTGAACACAGCACTGTATACTGGAGCCGATTAAGGTAAAAAAAAAACCTTCAGGCTTTAGAACCACTTTAAAGCTTTTGGAAACATTTAGTTTTTTTAAGGTTGCGAGTACCTTGTTTTGGCAGGTACCTGTTCCCACTTCTGACCAGACCACCTAGGCAATCCAAGTGGAAGTCCCCTTCCCCATTTGCCCACAGCCACTGAGAGACCATCCACAAAGCACGGTGCAGCTCATGCTTGCACAGTGAGAACCCTTCCCTTAGTAAACATGCCAGTAATCGATACCCGAAGACCGGTGAAGAACCAGCCCAGGCGAGCACAATACTGGATCCCTGGACAGGTAAGTGTCCTTTTATTAACCGTTTCCCATTCACGCTATAGCAGAAATACTGCTACAGGGCAGCACAGGTGTGCAAAATCACGTATATATGTGATTTGCAGCTCCAGGTAGGGGGCGCACATGAACCACACGTGCGTCCTACCCGTATCGCCATTCATGGCCTCGGGTGTCAATCACCGGTTACTGGACCGTGATTACTCGCCGGCGCCAAGTGATCGCTGAGTATTACCAAAGGTGGAAAGAACTGTATGTAAACAATACAGTTCTCTCCCCTGTCAGCTCCTGCACACTGTTTTGTATGGCTCTGCATAGCAGAGCCATACAAAGCAGTGTGCTTACAGTTGAAAGCACACACACAGCATACTGTGAAACAGCACACAGTTAACTCTGTGATTGCCCCACATGTTAACCCCTTCCTGCCCAGTGCCATTAGTACAGTGTCAGTGCTTTTTATTAGCACTGATCATTGTATTGGTGTCACTGGGGATGCCAGTGAGACCAAGTCAGTTCCCCCCCAGTGTCAGAATGCCCGCCGCAGGCCCGCAGTCCCACTATAAGTCGCTGATCGGGCACCCTTTAGGTAAGCATGCTCAAGGGAGAGAGTGGGACACTGCATGGTGCAGACTTTAGCTATGCAATCTGCCTATACGTACATTTTATGATTACATTCTATCAGGCCTGCTTCTTGAACAGTATTAGGTAACTGATCAGCATAGTACAGCTAAACTCTGCACCCTCCAGTGGCCAACAGCGAGGAACATGCTTGTCTAAAGAGTTACCAGGTTTGTGCTCTTTCATTCTGACTCATAACTCACCATCACTTAGCCCCGGCTCACATATATGCGGCCGTGTGGGCCGCCTTTTGCGCGGACACGAGAGCCCATTCATTTGAATGGACTCCTGTGCCCCGTGACACGCAGGGAAGAAGTCCCTGCACTTCTTCCAAAAACGCAACCCGCATAGGAACCTTAGTTCCAAGTATGGTTGCTTTTTCCAGTGCGGGTGGTGTGTCATTAGAACCAATGGCACCCACCCACATTTCTCTGTGCAGGTGGTGCGGCTGCACGGATTTTCATGCAGATCCGCAGCGGCACCACCCGCACAGATGTGAACCAAGCCTAACACTCTCTACTCTCAGTGCATCTCAAAGGGTGACTACAAAGGGAGATATTGAGAGAGCAGAATCATCAAGGAAATGAATGCATTGATCTCTGGAATAATTCTAAGGTATTAATGGGGATTAAATGTTCACAGAAAAAAAAACCCAGAATGAATCTACTGAGAACTGAAACTTGAAGCATATATGTACGTTTTTTGTTTTTTTTTTTCACTTTGGTTAAACTTTAAATTTGAATTATAAATATACATTTCAACTGTCTGTCTGTACAGATCATGGCTGAAAGAGCAGTGGCCAGTAACGCCATCACTCGTTCTGTTACGTTAGAGACGATCTCACCAGAAGACTTACCAGTGCAAGGTTGGGAGATAATTAAAATGATTATAGAAAATAGATTGCATTTTAAGCAAGACAGCAGATCACTGTGTCACTGCTTCTAGCATCATGTACCAGTGTAACTTCATAATATTGCTTAATTGCTTAGTGTATTCTATGAATGCCATTATGCCATGTGTCATACTCAAAGTGGACCTCCAGCTAGCTTTGGCTAAGGAATTGCACATCTGCCAGCTTTTATTAGTGAATCTTTTCCTAAATTTGTCCCGGCGACCACAGCAACTGGGAAAGAAAATGAGTGGAAAACCAAAACTTGACAGTTGTCCCTGGAATGTAAGATTATGGGAAATGTACGATGCTGACAACTTTTCCTGTGATAACTAGCAAAGATGGTTTTTCCCCTCTCTTTAGAGAAATACCTAACCAGTTACTATTGTGTTATTGGGACAGAAGTGAAGGAAAAACTGCCCTATCCAATAGGGCAAAAACAATACAAACCTGACAGAGGTTCTAAGCCCTCTCCCAAATTATCCAAAAAAAAAAAGGTTTCATTTTTAAAATTAAAATTATGGAGTGCTAACAATTTACACAGCACTTCACAAATTATTTATTTACATCAGTCTCTGCCCTCAAGGAGCTTACAATCTAAGATCCCTATGTCACATGCATACATACACATATGTGGGCCAATTTATATAGGAGCCAATTAACCTATCAATGTGTCTCTTGGAGTGTTTGAGGGAACCAGTGTACCCAGAGTAAACCCACACAAGCACAGGGAGAACAAACAAAAGTGTTGGCTAGAGTTCCACTATATGTCATATTAAACATAACATAGGAAGGCGTTTTGGGAAGGGTCACAGGCAAACAGTATTTCCATGTGAACTCAACATTCCCTTTTAATCTTACTTAGATGCAGAAAATGTATCATCCTAGCACATATTTAATGCTAATATTAGAAAAGAAATTTATTATTCCCTCTTGTTAGGCCTGGAAAACTACCCACATTTAATGAGGGAACATTTGCTTCACACATTGTAACACAAACAGATGGACATTTTGTTTCATATGTCTCAGTCAACACATTTCACTGCCTATGATGCCAAAATGGAAAAATATATTAATGTAATAATATTTCCAATCTTTAGATGGAGTTATTTGCATGCCAGTAGTTTTGACAGCCTAGACCACGGGGCAGCTAAAATAGGAAAGAATGTAGAATGAGCTGGGAACACATTGCAAACATAAATTTTACTTTATACAGATTCAGTTGTTTTCCATGTAATGCCATGTAAAAAGTTAGACCTGCTTCCAAGGACACAGACTTTCCATCGGACTAGAGATACCGGTTGGAAAGATTTGGTGACATTTAGACTTATATTAAGAACAGCATTAAAGCTAAGATCTTCTAAGCCTTCATGCATATTGAGAGGGCCACCACCTCACCTTCTGCATCCATACAGAGGTATACTCACCTCAAAGCTCTACAGTTAAAGACACTTAGCCTCCTACATTGGGATTTTCAACAGCTGCTGTTTTTGCCCTGCTAAATTGTTAGTCCTATGTCCATTTTGCAACCTGAAGGAATGTTTCCCTTTTTATCTGGGTCATCACACTGGCATACCCAATAGCAATATGACTGTCAATATAACCCTTGGCCTACAGCATCAACGCAGGGGTATCTTTAGATTTGCTTCACACAAAATGACCAAAAACCAAATGTGATGATGGAAGTGTCTTAAAGCTGACAACCACAATTGAATAATGCTTCTATGGGTGCAATGATGGGGCAGAAAGAAGCACAATGTGGCTATTGGTGCAGTAGTAATTGCATCATCTTTAACCATTCTAGTGATGGCACTGAGTAAATTAGCAGGCCGTGTCTAAATTTCCTCAGGTTCTTCTCAGTATGACTGGAAGATATGAACATATAATATACTCTGAATACCTATGATATCCCATATACAATAAATACATTTTTAATGTTCTACACTTACATAAAGGCCTGAGACTAATAATGAGGTCTGGTTACCAGGTAAGATGTGGACCTACAAACGGAGGCTTTATCCCACCCAAAGCTCTACAAAACCTCTAGGCTCTAGAACCCAGAACAGAGCTTATTAAGAAGATTCTGAGAAAATAGTTTTCTTTTCCCTGCATTAGCCATAAACCCCATGTGTATACCTAGATTAGAGAAAGAGAAACCTAGATTACACATACACACTGTCTACAATTTTGCCCGCCAGTGCCTTAGAATATATATTTATTACTCTCAGGAGTGTTTTTAGCATTGTACAGATATAACAAAAGTATTCAGCCTCTTGGCTATTTTACTCTACTTAGACCCTAAGTTTGCTTCAGTCCAGACTGAATTTCTCTTAGACATCCATGTGATCAGAGTGCCTTTCTGAAAGGCCATACAGGCCAGGACATACAATGGGGGAAATTAACATAAAGCCTGCAACACTTTTTTAAACTGAGAATGGAGAGGACCATGCTCTTAATTGAAAAAGGGGGTGCAAAAAAGTATTTCTAAAAATTGGATTTTTTCTACTTACTTACCTGTAAATTACATTTCTTTGAGTACATCATGGGACACAGAGCAGGATGTTAACATGACTATCTGGGTTATGCACCACAACAGACAGGAAGTTCTTCTGTATATACCCCTCCTACACAGGAAATTCCTCAGTTTTGTAGCAAGAAATGAACTCCCAGAAAGAGAAATGGGACCTCTGTGTCCCGTGATGTACTCAAAGAAATGAATTTTACAGGTAAGTAGGAAAAAATCTGGGATGTCCCAAAGCAATGCCCTTGAGGGGAGGGAGACACACATCACAGAAACCCGCCACCAGCCAAAGGAACAGCCAAATAACTCCAGCCAAAGGCAGTATCCCTCTGTAGCTCTGACATCCACTTGGTAGAACCTTGTGAATGTTTGAACTGAAGACCAGGTAGCAGCCTTGAAAACCTGAGCCATTGATAGTGAATCGCCCAAAAGGCTCCTACACTTCTGGTAGAATGCGTTCTTACCCGAAAGGGTGGGGCGGATCCAATGAGAAATAGTTGTCTTGGGCGCTGATTGCCTTTTCCTGGGCCCTTCTGGTATCACAAACAAAGAATCTGACCTTCTGAATTGTGCTGACCTTTCCAAATAGACTCTTATGGCTCACACTACATCCAAATAATTTCTCTCTGCCACACTAGGATTTGGGAAAAAGGAGGGTAGGAAAATGTCTTGATTCAATTTTTAGGTAAAAAGGATATATGAAGATGCAATACCACCTTATGATGCAAAATCAAAAAATGGCTTCTTACAAGAGAGCCACCAGCTCCGACACCCTCCTTGCTGAAGTGATTGCAATCAAGAAAGCCACCTTCAGAGTTAAAAGGACTATCAGAGCATCACCAATAAGTTCAAAGGATGGCTTCTGCAAAACTGTCAATACTAAATTTAAGTCTCAAGAGCACAAGGGTGGTCTTACAGGAGGAAGCATATGTGGCACCCCTGCACAAATGTCCGAACCAATCGGTTTGTGAAAAGATATGGACAAAGCTGAAATCTGACCTTTAATGGTGTCTAAAGCCAACTTAATTTCCACTCCTGACTGGAGAAATTAGAGAATTCTTCCAATCACATATTTCTGCGGATGTAATTTTCTGGTCTCCCACCAGGCGATGTAAGATTCCGCACCTTGTAATAGATGTTCCTAGAAACTGCCTTCCTGGCATTCAGAAGTGGAGTAACCACTGTGCTTGAAATCCCCCAATCCTCAAGATCTGGGCTTCAATAGCCAAGCCATTAAATTTAGCGAACGTAAAGCAGGGAGGAATATTGGTCTCTGAGACAGGAGGTCCGTTCAGGCCGGAAGAGCCCATGGACCATCCACAGCCATCTTCACAATGTCTGCATACCAGGCTAGCAATATAACCTGAACTACTTCTTCTCTTTTGGAATCCTGCGTAAGAGACATGGGAAAGCTGAATCCAAGGACCCACCAGATCGTCTACTCCGATCGTGAGTGGGTCTCTTGTCCTGGACACAAATTTTCCCAACTTGTTGTTGAACTCGGATGCCAATAGATCTATGTCTGGGGTTCCCCAATGCTGGCAAATTGCTTGCCAGTTCTGTATGCCCCAGAATGTGTATTGCTGATAGAAAAGGCACTTGTAACTCTGTCCAATACAGGATTTGGTTTACTTCTTCCTGAGCCAACCAGCTCCTGGTGCCTCCTTGATGGTTGATGAAAGCCATGCAATCCGATTGTCTAAAATTTCAGAGCAAGGCATACTGCCCAAAGCTCCAAGATATTGATGGGCTCACTGTACTCCAGATGAGACCACCTTCCCTGGACTGTGGCTCCCTCCAGAACAGACCCCCAACCCAAGAGACTTGCATTTGTGGTTACTATTCTCCAAACCACTGGAAGAAAAGATTTTCCTTTTTCCAAATTCTGAGCCACCAACCACTACTTCAGACCCTGTTGAACTTTGTGGGTCAGAAACATACAACAATCCAGTGCTTGGACCTTCTTGTTCCAAACAGACAAAATGTTCCTCTGCAGAGGCCTAGAGTGGAACTGTGCATAAGAAACTGCCTCAAATGAAGACACCATCTTCTCGAGCACCCTCAGCAAAGACATGCAGAAGGACACCTTTTGCTTCTTAAGACCCAAATCTTCTGCCTCAGAGCACGGCTCTTTCCTTGCGGTAGGACAACTTTTGCTCGAACCGTATCTAGGATCAGCCCTAAGTATTTCAGGCTTTGAACTGGCTCCAAAGCCACCTTCTCAACGTTTAGAACCCTGCCTAAACTTTTCAACTACCAACCATTTTAGCATGCAGCCATCTGAATAGATCAGTTATGCAGTCCCTTGATTCCTTTTTAGAACCTTTTTGTGACTGGTAGTACTCTTAAAGAGAGTTGAACTTCAGTGACCATCACCTTCAAGACACTGGCGAAAAAAATGAGGGACTTCCTGTGTAGGAGGGGTTATATAGGGTAGGACTCCGTCTGTTTTTGTCTGCCAGTGTCCATTCACCTATAGGTGGTGCATGACCCAGATAGTCATGTTTATAGCCTGCTCTGTGTCCTGTGATGTACGATAAAGAAAATATATAGTTTGGGGATTATTCAAAGCAAACTATGCTCCATGTTTTATTTTGTTGAGAAAACACCCCCTAGCATATCTAGCCCTGGCCGTCTTGAGAAGGGTAGATGATTCATGTAGCATTTTCTTCCTCAAATCCATCTGCCCTTAACTCAGGACTGCAAGCAGGAGGGTGTGCTTAACTTTGAAAGCCCATCCACCCCTTTTAAGGACTCCTATCCAGGCCTGTAAACCAGGAAGTAACTGAAGAACTGTAAAAAAAAGTTTAAAACAAGTAAATATGTTGAATGCTATACTTCTCTATTTACTAAAGCTAGCAGCATAAAGATTAAAAAAAGTCAATGTTAAGTGAGAGATGAAAGAAAAATAAATGCCCATGAAGACTCCTGGAATGTATGACATTGTTTTAGCCTAGGCCAGAAGCCAGGAAGCAACACAAAAAAATGTGAACAAATAAATAATTAAAGTTGAAACGAGTAAATATAGTATAACTTCCTATCTATTTACTTATGCTAGCAGTAAAAATAGTTAATGCTGACTGAGAGAGTTTAGTTCTGCTTTAAAAATACTAACCTTGCACTTGTCACCTGCTTGTTGTGTGTGATGAATATGAAATATTCTTTTGCAGTACTTCATACTTCCCTTACTAAATGTTAATAAAATTATACAACAGTTTAATTTTTTTAGAACTAAACATAATGCATAAATAAGAAAAATATATATTTTCACTTTAAACCCTGTGAACAGCTTTCTAGAATGTTTAGATTTTGCAGGGGATAATAGGAGTAATCATACAAGGACATACAACATGCTGTCCTCATTTGAACTCATGAATCATTGTAACCGTCTAATATGTCAGTGGATATAAAGCTCAGAAGTGGCACTAATCCCCCCATTAATCGGGATATTGCCATACTCAGGCCCTTTGGATGTTCTTAACAAACAATTCAGCCACTGAAAGTTGTTTAAAAACATACTCAATGATGAGAGCTGCTGTCATATCATCAGCAGCCATTTACGACTTTTCTGTAGCTATAATACATTTGACATAAAAAAAAAAACAAATAGAAAAAAAAGAGGTTGCCAGTTTTGACTAACATATGTTATTTGTGTGTTTGCAGCACAGTCATTTTTTTTTTTTAGCAATTATAAACCAGAAAGCTTTAGAAAACACTGAAGGAAAAATGAAATGTATTGATAATGACCCTTTGCAGCATTTCCATCATTGTAGTCTGCATTATACATTTTGAACGGTTATTTAGTTAATGGATGACAATTTCACATACTTTGTTTGTTCTAGTTGATATTCTGGATACTGTGCGGGAGTCCATTCAGAAATATGAGCTGCTTTTCATTGGCAGCCTTCCCGTCTCAAAGCCAATGGGTGAGTTATTGTAGAGACTGTTTTGTATCCGTTCCTCCAGGGAGCCTTTTATTGCAACAACTAATAAATACTTAGTAAATAATGTGTTCCTTTTTTTTTACCCTCTATGGTATAAGACTGTATTATGTTTCCTCTAAAAAAGTGTACAATTTAATTGTGGATGACGATATCTAGCCTTTTTAAACATGTTTCCAAATGTACATATCTCCAAATGTAAAGTTGCACTCAGGCAGAAATAAAAGACACAAATGAATGCAGTCCTGTATTCATTAATACTTTATTAAAAATATATTTCTAATGCAAGCACCTGAATGTCACTTGATATCAGCCTCTTGCAATCCCTGTATGGCAGAGCTCAAAGTAGCAGAGGAAGCCGCAGTACAAGCAGCCAATCAATTCATGTGCTGACAGTGAACATGCTAATAGAAGGAGAAGGCAAAGTGACACAGTGATGAACGTATCTCTCTGCTTCTTCTTCCTACTCGCTGCCCATTCACAAACTGTGGGTTGGTCCATGACAGCATGGGCTCAGAGAAAGTGAGTTGAATGATGCTTGATTCAGCCCAGAAGAAAGAGGACCTCTTGTGGCAAAAAAAGAAATACTGCAAAGACAGCTCCACATTGCAGATAAGTATTGCAGTAAAAGCTTTTTTTTTTATTTGATCATTTAATAGGCTATTTACTCTTTACATTTTTGACTGCAGTTCTGCTTTAAGCTCTTAGGCTCCCTCAAAAACAAAATTATTTCTGAGAAGGCTTTATGGAGGTAGATAATACCTTCATCATAGATTGCTTGCTGAATTCAGAGCAAATACAGTCATGGCCAAAAATATTGGCACCCCTGCATTTCTGTCAGATAATACACCACTCCGCTTTTGTTGCAATTACAAATGTTTAGACCTTCTCATGTTTATTTATTTTGTTTGTATTGGTATGACACAAAAAGTGGAGCAGCAAAAAGACAAATCTGACACATTCCATGAAAAACCCAAAAAATGGACTGGACAAAATTATTGGTACCTTCTCAAAATTGTAAGAAGTAATTAAACTCATCTGTATCAATTAACAGGAGCTGACAATATAGAAATCACACCAGCAACCAGTTAAAATTATGAAACATTGACTCAACCTTTTGAGAACAAAAACTGTGGAAAAGCATGGACAACCTCAAGGTTACAAGTCCATCAAGAAGTTTACAGCCCATGGCACTATAGCTAATCTCCCTGGATGTGGATGAAAGCGAAAAAATTGATTAGAGATGGCAATGAAGGATTGTTTGAATGGTGGCTAAAGAACCTTGATCAACACAGGGTACAACTGTGTCAGCTCAAACTATACGTTGCCATCTTAATGAAAAGGGACGCTATGGTAGGAGACCCAGGAGGACCCCACCTCTGACACAGAAACATAAAAAAGCCAGACTGGAGTTTGCCCAAACTTACCCGAGGAAGCCAAAATCTTTTTGGGAGAATGTTCTGTGGACAGAAGAAACAATATTACAGCTTTTTGGTAAAGCCCATCATTCTAATCTTTTCAGAAAAAGAAATGAGGCCTTTAAAGAAAAGAATACATTCCTTACAGTCAAAAATGTTGGAAGTTCACTAATGTTTTGTGGTTGCTTTGCTGCTTCAGGCCCTGTATGTCTTGACCATGTGCATGGCATTATGAAATCTGAGGACTACCAAAGAATTCTGGGGTGCAATGTAGGGCCCTGTGTCAGAAAGTTGGGTCTCTGTCAGAGGTCATGGGTCTTACTGCAGGACAATGACCCAAAGCCTACTTCAAAAAGCACCCAGAAATGGTTTCAGAGAAAGTGCTGGAGAGTACTGAACTGGCCACAATGAGTCCAGATCTAAATCTGAGAGAGATCTCAAAACAGCAGTTGAGAAAAGGAGGCCTTCCAATCTGAGAGACCTGGAGCAGCTGGAGAAGAGTGGTCCAGAATTCCAATAGAGAGGTGTAAGAAACTCATTGATGGTTACAGGAAGCTATCGATTTCATTTTTTTTTTTCCAAGGTGTATGCTATGAAATATTAAATTGAGGGTGCCAATAATTTTACTATAGCGAGGATCATGCGATCATCCACCACTGTTGTCTTCCATGGACGTCCATGCCTTTTTATGTTGCTGAGCTCACCAGTGCATTCTTCTTCCCTCAGAATGATTTGGCCACTCCTAATGTTGCTGCTATCTCTTTGTTTTTTAAGCCTTACAATGGCCTGTTTCACTTTTATGGACAGCTCTTTTGAACGCATGATGTAGGTTCACAGGATTAGATTCCAAATGCAAATACCACACTTAGAATCAACTTTTACATGCCTAATTGATGAAAAAAAATAACAAAGGAGTAGCCCACACCTGGCCATGAAACAGCTTTTGATTCAACTGTCAAATTACTTTAGTCCCTTAAAAAAGGGGTATGGCTATTCTTAAGAACTGTAATTCCTAAAGCCTTCCTCCAATTTGGATGTACATACCCTCAAATTAAACCTGAGAGTGTGCACTTTCAGCCCATATCCATTATATGACTAAAGCTTGAATATGTTTTGGTAAATACCTGAAAAAATCTAAAATTGTGCCTGTGTCCAAATATATATGGACTTAACTGTATATACTGTAAATGGGCAGCACAGTGGCTAAATGGTTAGCACTTCTGCCTGGCAGTAGTAGCGTCATTGGTTAGAATCCCAACCACGGCACCACCTGCCTGGAGTTTGCATGTTCTCCCTTTCCCTGTGTGGGTTTCCTCCCACACTGCAAAGACATACTGGTAGGTTAATTGGATCCTGTCTAAATTGGCCCTAGTATGTGTATGTATGAATGTACTGTATGTATGTATGAATGTAAGTTAGGGACCTTAGAATATATGCCCCTTGAGGGTTAGGGACTGATGTGAATGTACAATAAACATGCAAAGTACTGCATAAATTGACAGCGCTATACAAGTACCTGTAATAATAATATATATATTTTTTAATAACTAATCTCTTTAATGCAGGGATGGATTTACTGAATGATACCATAGAGAACATAATCAGTACCACACTCAGGGAAAACTGGACAGCTGCTGTCATTGAAGTGACTGATACAGCAGTGACTGTTCACCGGAGAGAGGTAATTCTCTGTAGCATTTATGATTATACTTTTTTTTTTTTTTTTTACATGTTCCTGTCCTGATTTTCTCTGTGAAAATGGGATTGCTTGCTTTTGTTCAAAATGTTCCAATTTTAGATGGAAATTGAAGTGGAATTGGCAAGTAGGAGATTGCTGTAATTTGCTCTACCCCTCATTTTGCAACAAAAGGAAAAACTCCAAGCAAGAAATTAAAGGAAACCTTTAACAAGAGAAAAATGGAAGCGGGCTTTGCAGTAACTATCAATTTCAGATGTTGAGGTCAGCAATGTCATGCTGATCATTAGATCAGCATGACATGATTATAAATCACTGACCAGGTCAAGAGTTCTGATTTGAAAATGGCTTACTAATTTGCATTCTAGTTCTAGGTCATCATTGAATACAAGGAGCCAAGTAACTAGCATTTTCAGAAGCAGGTCAACAGTGATAGTTTCCATATTCCTCTCAGGACAGGTTTCCTTTAACCACTTGCCCTCCAGAGGATTTACCCCCCTTCATGACCAGGCCATTTTTTGTGATACGGCGCTGCATTACTTTAACTGACAATTGCACGGTCATGCAACGCTGTTAATAAATGAAAATTATGTCCTTTTTTCACACAAATAGAGCTTTCTTTTGGTGGTATTTGATCACCTCTGCAGTTTTTATTTTTTTGTGCTATAAACAAAAAAAGACCGACAATTTTGAAGAAGAAAATAATATTTTTGACTTTTTGCTATAAAACATATCCAATTATTTTGTCATAAATTTAGGCTAAAATGTATTCTGCTATGTCTTTGCTGAAAAAAAAATCCAATAAGTGTAAATTAATTGGTTTACGTGAAAGTTATAGCGTTTGCAAATGGCGGTAAATATAAGGGAATTGTTATTTTTATTTTTTTTATACTAGTAATGGCGGCAATCAGCAACTTATAGCGGGCCTGGAGGACTACGGCGGGCATTCTGACACTGGTTGAGAACTGACTAACTGCTACTGACATCCCCAGTGACACTAATACAGTGATCAGTGCTAATAAAAAGCACTGGCACTGTACTAATGACATTGGGCAGGAAGCGGTTAACATCTGGGGCGATCACAGGGTTAAATGTGTGCTGTGTGTGTTTTACTATGTGTGCTCTGTGCTGTTTTTTACTATGAAGACATGCTGCTTTGTATTTCTCTGCAGAGAAATACAAAGCAGCATGTCCTTGCTGGCAGGAGAGAGACCTGTGTTTACACACAGGTCTTTCCCGTCAGCTTTCCTCGACAATTGACATCCCTAGCCGCCAATGGCAGCGTGGGTAGGGCAGCACCCTGCAAATGTGAATCACGTATATATACGTGATTTTGCGCAGCCCTGCCGCCCTGTAGCAGTACGCCTACTATAGGGCAGCAGGCAAGCGGTTCAACTGTACCTCCCCCTCCACCCCCTCTACAAAAAATGGCAATAATATCTAATGCAGTGGACATGAACAAGTACGCTTACCATGTCCAATGCTTCTCTTCTTTACTTTTCTTTCCTATTGTGCCTTTTTCAGGCTGCCTCTGTGCAACCTGTATCCCTGCATCTGTGTTGCCATTTTGAAAATGTATACTGCGTATGCCTGAGATGGAGCAAATGAAACGCGCATGCACTGTACAACATTACATTCATCTGATTTAAAAAAAACCAAAACCTTCCCGAGATTTCATGAGATCACAGGGAGACCGTTTTTTTTTTTTAAACAAAAAATGAGTTTGATGCTGTAAAGCACATACACAAGATGAAGTGATCAGTGGTCATGGGCTTTATATTGCGCATGCACAGTATGAGAATACTGCATCTTGCAGCTTAGGTATGAGGTCTCCTTGAAGGTACCAGTGGTGTTGCCTTCCCATGCAGGGATGCATGCTAATGTGAATTTTAGTAAAAGAGGGGGAAAGTCCACTTTAACCACCTCCACCGCCCGCCATATAGTAATATGATGGACGCAAGGTGGTTCTCTCGTTCTTGGAGGACGTCATATGACGTTGGTATTCCCGTGTGTAGCTCGGGGTTACCGCTTGTGGTACTGAAGCTTTACCCCGAGCTACACTCAGGAATACCGCCAGGGAGGTTAAACATCTGTTTTGCTGCACCTGGAATATATTTAGGTAATCTAAACTGAATGCTCAGTTGGGTTGTTGTATAGCACTTCTAGCATAAGGCAAGCCAAACATGAGTCGAATTCTGAACAAATTTTCTTTAGAAAATCTGAAATTTCGTGCATTCTGTAATCCGATGATGCTACCGTTGATTTTGAAATTCAACCAATCAATCCTTCAATTTCACCACATGTTGCTACAGAAAAGAATTTTTGTGGCTGGGAATCTTCTTTCAAGGTCATAGCTCATGCTCATTTCTTTTTCAATTATATTTCTCACACTATTCTCCCATCATTGATTAAAAATTCATACATTTTTCAAAAAATTACCAGCTTGTACAATCACTCAAATTCGACGGCAGCACAAAAATCCCATTGCCCCCCATCCGTCACACTGCCCCCACCTGTCACTTCGCCCCACACCTGTTCCACTTCCCCCCTCCTGTCCCCCACATTGTCCCACTACCCCCCATCTCTCCCCACTACCCCTCACCTGTCACTCTGCGCCCCTCCTATCCCGCTGCCTCAATCCTGTCCCATACCCCCTGTCATGCTGCCCCCCACCTGTCCCTCTGCGCTCCTCCTGTCCCACTGCCCCCTATCCTGTACTACGCCCCCATCATGCTGCCCCCCACCTGTCCCTCTGCGCTCCTCCTATCCCACTTCCCCTCACCTGTCCCTCTGCGATCCTTCTGTCCCACTGTCCCTCTGTCACTTCTCCTGTCCCACTGTCCCTCTGCGCTCCTCCTGTCCCATGCCCCCCATCACGCTGCCCCCCTACCTGTCCCTATGTGCTCCTCCTGCCCCACTGCCCCCCACCTGTCTCTCTGTGCTCCTCCTGTCCCGCTGCTCTATCCTGTCCCATACCCCCCGTCATGCTGCCCCCCACCTGTTCTTCTGCGCTCCTCCTGTCCCACTTCCCCTCACCTCTACCTCTGCACTTCTTCTGTCCCACTGCCCCTCACCTGTCCCTCTGCGCTCCTCCTGGTCTACTGCCCCCCCCATCACCTGTCCCTCTGTGCTCCTCCTGTCCTGCTGCACCGATCCTGTCCCTCTGCACTCCTCCTGTCCCGCTGCCCCAATCCTGTCCCTCTGCGTTCCTCCTGTCCTGTTGCCCCTCTGCACTCCTCCTGTCCTGCTGCCCTGATCCTGTCCCATGCCTCCCGTCACGCAGCCACCCACCTGTCCCTCTGCGCTTCTCCTGTCCCACTGCCCCTCTGTGCTCCTCCTGTCCCACTACCCCTCACCTGTCCCTCTGCGCACCTCCTGTCCCACTACCCCTCACCTGTCCCTCTGCGCACCTCCTGTCCTGCTGCCCCGATCCTGTCCCATGCCCCCCGTCATGCTGCCCCCCACCTGTCCCTCTGCCTCGCCACCCATCACGCTGCCCCTCATCATGCTGCCCTCCCCCTATCAGGCTGCTACTCTCTTGTCCTGCTACCCCCCCCCCCCCCCCACCTGTCCCAATGGCCTACTCCTGTCCTGATATCCTCCATCATGCTGCCCCCCTCCTGTCCCACTGCCCCTTTCCTGTCCTGCGGCTCCCCATCACGCTGCCCCCGTACTGTCCAGCAACACCCCCCCCCCCCCCATGTCACACTGCCCTCCATCATGCTCCTATCCTGAAGAGGTGGATCTTAAACAGCAAAGGGAGGGACAAATTTAGATGCAGGGGGTGCCCGATTTTAATCTTGCCAAAATACACCACTGACGCTGATATGTTACTGTTGTAAAGTAATATGTTCAACTATATTATTTGGTGCAGTCTGCGATGTAAGGCAGGCACATGAGTCCCTTTTTATTGCAGCATGCAATCAATGTCCATAAAATTATTTTCTATGTACTATACATACAGTAGGTGATAACTTTAGCACTTAGACTAGTCAAAAAAGGCAGCTGTCTGATGGAGAGCTGAAGACAGGAATCTGTCTCTAATTGCTTTGCTGCACCATCAGGACCGGCTATTGCATTCAACCTAAGAATGAATTTTGCTGTGAAATATTCATTCCATTTCTGTATAGAAAAAAAGAACAATCATTGCCCACAGACAGGGAAATCTCATTGTGCATTAATAAGTACTTCCAATGGTTAAACATGGTTGTTATCACCCCCTAGAGAACCGCATGCAAGTCCCAGGCTTATACTCAAGACATCTTCTGATATCAGACAATGTGTAGACACCGTTAAGCTGGTTATGCATTATGGCACATACACACGATAAGAAAATCATACGAGGACCGATCATCCGATAAATCTGATCGTTAGTACATTTTCGAGAGCAATTCATACGACAATATCTGAAGGGACAAGCGCAAAAATGTTTCTAATACGATACCAGATCGTACGATTTCCTTCAACTGCTTCCTTGCTGCCCTATGACAGAAATACTGCAACAGGGCGGCACGGGTGCGCAAAATCACGTATAAATGCGTGATTTTGCAGTTCTGGGTAGGGGGCGCCCTACCCACGTCGCCATTCACAGCCTCGGCTGTCAATCACTGAGTCGCAATCGGTGATTCTCTACCGGCACCCAGTGATCGTCGAGTATTACAGACAGGGGGAGAAACCTGTGTATAAACAACACAGATCTCTCCCGTCAGCTCCTGCACACTGCTTTGTATAGTTCTGCATAGCAGAGCCATACAAAGCAGTGTGCTTACAGTGTAAAGTACACACACACACACCACACTGTAAAACAGCACAAAATTAAGCCTTTGATCGCCCCACATGTTAACCCCTTCCTGCCCAGTGCCATTAGTACAGCGCCAGTGCTTTTTATTAGCACTGACCACTGTATCGGTGTCACTGAGGATGTCAGTGACACCAAGTCAATTCCTCCCATTGTAGAATGCACACCGCAGTCCTGCTGTAAGTCA